TTCATTTTTCATGGCCGGCTTTTCCAGCCAGTGAACTCGCCGAACGACAACTTTGTTAAACGGAAAACGAGCCACGAAGTTGCCGGCTTTACGACTGCTTTCCCGGGGTGCATCTCTCGCCTCGTTCGCGGTTTACGCATTGTTTCATGGGCACTTTGAAAGACGTGCAGTTTATTAATTCACGGTTCCATTTACTGGGCCACGTTTATCGATATTCTGCATCGGTATTATGCATTCGTGTTTCCAAGTGTTGGGAAAAGTATACAGTATGTAAATACTTCAGTTTTATTCTGTAGCGTAGTTATTAATAATAAAAGATAAAGTTCTTTGATCAGAATAATATAGTTATCAAAATATTTATAGCTATAATATAGTTATCAACGTATTTGCAGTTATAATATAGCTACAAACATATTTGTAGTGATAATATAGTTATCAAAATATTTGTAGTTATAATATAGTTATAAATATATTTACAACTAGTCACAAATACATTAACAACTTACAAATAAACACACGAAGAAATCTAGAATTTCCACGGTCCCGGAATATAAAAATAACATACTACATAAACGTTCAAACGAAAAAAATCATTAAAATGAATAACAATTGGTCGACGAAATCTGCCGATATTCCAAACAAAAGTTTCGCACGTTCCGCTCGAATATCCCCCCGATAATATCCGGAATCATTCGAATTTTCCTCTCGCGAAGCAAGCCCAAACAAAAGGCAGCCAAAGCTAATAACAACATGCATCCATTAGCCCCGAATTATCCGCGGGTTTCCCGGGCGAACGGATATTCGGTGCGCGCATCGGCAACCAGCTCTCTTAATCCATTAAAAATTTCGCGATCTGAGCGAAAAGGGAGGGCGGCGGCGGCGGCTGAGCCCATAAACGCGGCTAATGATTTGCAAAGCGTGTCGAACATGGACACGGAACGATGTTCGTGACCGTGACTGAAAGATTCTTGGGCTGGCGCGGCCTTGACACGCGGCGGTCGATGAAGGGAAAAGGAAAAAAAAAGGCGGCGAGGGGGTTGGCTCTCCCCTTTGCGCGGCGACGCCCCGGCACGTGTAAACAGAAACACCGTGCAGGGTTCGATTAATTTTTAAGAGTCAATTAACGGCCCGCAATCGCTGCAGCGCGGTCTTCGGGCACTTTTCTCTCGGCTTTCTCCGGTTTCTCTCTTGGGAAACATTCAGTCGTCGCTCGGAGAGGGAGATGGGTTGGAGAGTTGAACGACGGCGTTACTTGTGATATCAATTCCGAAATGATCGAGGAAGGGGAGGATGGAAAGTGAAAGAAAATTCAACCCTTGACCCAAGGACTCGCCCTTAAGGCTGTTGCAAGGGAGACTTCGTCCCTTGAGTTTTTATTTTGAGAAGCGACTTTAGTTCACCCTTTGAGGTTCAATGGATTAAAAACTGCTTTTAGTACAGTTTAATATTTTATTTGAAGTTTTCCATGCAGTTGGCAACACTATGAACGAACAACAAATGCGTAGATAAGTGAAAATATTTATACAAGTCGAAACGCATTAGTAAGTTGAGACTGTTGTGATTAAAGCTGGCGAATTCTGTAATTCTGTAGCTTTGGTTGTTTTCTTCTTTAAAATCGTGTGCCTCGTTGAACGTCATTGATTTCACATTGTGGATAGAGGTACTAATTAGTAATGTGGACAACAATCAATGCAATTATTGAAAAATTATTACTTCACCATTAAATTTTATAGAGAGATCTTGTTCAGTAATACAGTTGTATTTCAAATATTGATGTTCGAGTATGCAGTAATATTAATTTTTCACCATTTGCTTTAACAATCACTTGCTGTGAGTTTATTATAGAATATATCAATTTTCCTGTACACTTTGCTGTCGATACAACGACAGCTTCGATAGCAGTTCCCGCTTCAATGGTAGCATTCAAGGATCGACTTCAATCTGCGATTCCAGATTATGTAGTCGGAAGTGTCAGGTGGCCGATTCGCAAACTTTTTGCTCGCGCAATTTCGCATCTGGCGACATCGCGACGGCTGGAACGTGAAAGAGAATTCCGGCCGACGCGCTCGAGGAGGCGACTTTCGACTCTCCCTTTGATAATTCTTTCGTTTCATAAATATTTAAACGTCCTGCGTTCCAACAACGACTCTTCTATTTGCGTTCGCCTAATTTGCGAGCCGCGTAAATTGAAACCGGGCTGAACCCAGAGAGCTGCGAAGTTTACGCGAGCTTCTATTTCGACGCTAATTTAATGAAACAAATTATTCCTCCCCGAAAAACTTCTCAAGATTAAATAGAATCCCCTTGGTGAATTTCGAGAGCGCTGGCGAATTAATTAATCCTTCGTCTCTGCACGCGGCTGACTTTGACACCGTTTCCCGCGCCTTTGTTCCTTTTGTTAATTAATTATCATTCCCTTGACCCCGTAAGATAAAACAGCTACCAAAAGCACCGAAAACTCCAAATAATCAATGAAGTACAGTAACGTCTCTAACGAGGGAACGAAACTCCGCGAAAATAGAAGGAAATCATGTATATTCCCTAAAAAATCGAGCACTATCAAAATTAATACCAAAAAGTCCAAAAATTCGTATAATCAATAAGCTACACAATCGCCTATAACGAGTAAGCAGAATTTTAAGAGAAATCGAGAACCGTCGTCCCAGAAGAATCAACCCCCGGCCGATAACACGAATTTCCGGCGCGGAGCCGCGTCAAGCGTCACGGAAGGAGCCCGACAACCCCTTCAAGAAATTAATTAAAATTATCAGCAGCCCCGCCGGTTCCGTGTCAATGCGGCGGACGTTTTCAAAAGGATCGTCGGCCGTTCTACCACGGCGCGAGTGAAAAAAGAGAAAAGGAATCTCATTACCTGATAAAACCGCCCCTCCTTTCATCGGCGAGCCAGCTGACGGCTCGGCTGGCAGGCCAGGAAGCGATCGAGGGTCGTTATCATCGGGGCTGTTCCCTCTTTTCGTGGCCGTTCCCGCGCGACCCGGCTCCGCTCGGTTCGCATACTCGAAATTCACCCTCTCGACCCCGATCATCACCTCGTAATCGGAAATCAAACGGGTCCCCCGGCGAGGATTCGGCAAACAGAAGGAGCCAGGACCTCTCGGGGACAAGAGGAGAACGGAGCACGCTGCCGGAAGACCGATTCGGTCTTCCGTTTCCTGCTGGCGCGGAAAATGAGCTGGAAGGTCGGAGCTATAGTTCTCGTAATGTCAAGGGGATGGTTACGTAAAAAGGACTGCGTGGACGCTTTTTATAGTCCCGTGCGTGGTATTAAAAGCGCTCGTGACATATTAATTTTCGATTAAGGGCCGCTTCGCGGGGCAAACTATGACGCGATATGAAGTGTAACTAGGTTTAGAAAATATTGGATAACGCGGAATACGCGGCGGAACGAGAAATCGGTTGGGAGCTCGGTTGTTGGAGTGGCTGGAGGAGAATTGATGTAGATCGTGGTTTTATGGAGAAGTTTCGATTGAGTTGGGGAGGCGATCTTGAGGAATCGAATTGTGATTGAGCGAATATTTAGAGAATAGTAAGTAATGTGCTTTTTAATTTTTTAGTTTAGCGAAGAATGAATTTTCTTTGGAATAAAGTATGCCATTTTATCGGAATGGTTTGTCGGATTTTATGAATATTATTTCAGCTTTTTTTTTATTCTCCCGAGTGAAATTGGGGGAGAATAGCGGTGATTTCAATTCTCGGCGTTTCGTTTACGTGGACGGAGGAATAAACGTGCACGAAATACCCGAAGACTCGGAAACTTTTTTTGTGGGGCAATGAAGCTGGACAACGGTTCCCGCAGCGACCGTTCAGAGACGCCCCGGCGTCCAATAAAATAATGCTGTTCCGGGGCATCAAAGGAAGCGGCGGAACCAGATAAATTTAATTTCTGCGCTTCGACAACAAATTCAGCGGAATTGTGCGCCATAAAAATTCTTTCATGCGGTACAAAGGAATACTAATAACATATTTAGAGGCGGGAGTACTTCGCAAAGGAGAAAACTCAAAGTTGAACAGTATATTTAAATGGTATTCGTGTAACTAGTGACTCTAAAATCGAACAGATTGCTCCAAACAAAACGAAAAGATCGTTGAAATTTATCCAACGTTTCACTGTCTAATATATTATCACCGAACAAACTTTTAAACCCTCGAACATTTCCCGATCAGCTAAAAAACAACGCTATCACGTTGAAACATTATATCACGAGAAAGATTCGAACTTTCCGAAACTTTTCCAAACTAATAAACACTTGCACCTCGCTCCAGATACCCATTCCACCCCTCAACAGTCTCAACCTTAAATCAACTCGACCCTCCTAACACACCAACCAAAGAAACC